CGGGTTTCGCACAGGCCCGAGCAATTTCAAAGCGGCCGTTTCGACATGGCGCCCGCCGCTCCTGTTCGTTAGGGAGAGAGAGAGAGAGAGAGAGAGAGAGAGAGAGAGAGAGAGAGAGAGAGAGAGAGAGCACTGACAGTGCTGCCAGTCTGAAGACTCTGACGTTCTGAATTGAACTGCAAAGCTCGAACTTTTAAGTTATTTATGAAGTTATGAACTTAAATAATTGTTAAATTACTAAATCCCAAGTTCAAAGTTAATCATACTCTTTTGAAGTTTTTTCAAACAAAAAAATCTCTGTTTCTTTAGTCTTGTGCCTGCTTTGCACTGTTTGCAACTCTGCGTGTCTGCTAGTTAATTGTGCTGCTTGATTTGCAGCAAGACACGTGCTCTGCTGCCTGAACTACAGAGTGCAAAGCAGGTAAGTGCCTGCCAACACCCCCCCCAACCYCCCCCCCCCCTGGTCCGGACATTTTTGCACCCCGGGACCGGTCCAGACTGTCCGGTGTCCGGTGATGTCCGGATCACCGGACAGTCCTGACCGGTCCAGACACTGGTCCGGAAGACAGTCCGGAAGTGTCCGGTGTCCGGAACCGGGGTTACCATGGAGAAACCACTTACATAACTTACATTAAAAAAAAAAAAACAAAAAAAAAACCCACTTACATTCAGAAATTCACAAATTTTATTGCCTGGAAATTTACTGAACTCCAATCCCACAAACACACTGGGAATGGCAGAATGGACCAGGAATGATGAATCACGAATGAACCAGGAATGGTGGACCAGGAATGATGAACCACAAATGAACCAGGAATGGTGGACCAGGAATGGATCAGGAATGAAGGAGGAATGGACCAGGAATGGATGACTCGCATCCACGCACAAGTGCTGCGTGCGTGCTGAGCTGTGCACAGTGCGATGTTGAAAAACTAGGAAGAATTTTTTTTTCAAAAATAATGTTCGGCGTTTAACGATGCTTTTGTCTTTTCAGTGTTTTCACCAAAAAAAGCGTCTCAGAAACAACATGTCACATCACAGTGCAGGTCGAATGCAGGTCCAATGCAGGTCTGATTCAGGTCTAATGCACACAGGTCTAATGCAGCAGGTCCAGTGCAGGTTCAATGCAGATGCAATGGGAGTCTAATGCAGCTCCAAGCGTATGCTCGCACTAGCAATTTCCTAGATGTATCTGACCACAATTACGGACGGTCCTCGATGAATGTCACCGTGATCCTGACCAGAGCTTAGTACAAAAGAAGCGCCACTGTGAGTATGCCCAGACAGGTTCAATAGGGCGGGAAGTACAATGCTTCAGCTTCAATGCAGAGGCTTCATTGGAAGGTCTTGCACTAAGATTGGACCTGCACTGGACCTGCACTGGGAAGGTCTAATGAAGGTCCATCGCCCATGCACTCCATTGCATCTTCAACGAAGGTTCAATCCACACTCAATAAATGACTCATCGCAGGTCCATCAAGAGTGGAATCCAGGTCCAACAAAGGTCCAATGCAGGTCCAGTGCAGGTCCAATCTAAGCAGCTTTTACTCTGCACAGCCTGAAGGAACAACTCCCTTGGATCCCGGAGTGGATATGACGGAAAATGTACGGTATGGAGTCGACTCTTTACTAGGCCTTTGGATTCACAGTTACAAAAAACCCGTTCGGGTTTTTACTATGATAAGGAAATTTGTATATATACCAACCCAGACAATCTTTTTCAAATGTTCTTAGTGTCAGCATGATATAATGCAGGTCAGATATGACACAGTTCAATTGAGGGCGTTTGTACAATAAGGCGTACAATAAGGCACCTGACCTGATGTGCTGGTTGAATTCAGTCTTCACAGGAATGCAAAATGGCGGCAGAAATAGAACAGCAACGGAAAGGAGAAAGCGGACATCATCATGCCAGCAAGGACAAGTTACACGTACTCTGTCTGCACGTCCCTCCAAGACCGCGGCAACAACCAGCGCACAAGCTCCTGTCCCGCATGCCAATGTTGCACCTGCAGCAAGACCAGTGGTAGTCTTAGCCTACTGTACACCGGGAACATCGCCCCCCTCCGTCTCCCCTCTTCCCCTTCCGGGACTCCCCTTTCAAAAAAAAAAAACAAAAAAAAAAAACAAACAAACAAGTTACAAATATGCAGACATTTACGTGGAACTGCTCCATTTCAGATCAAAAGTAAAAGGAGAGGAAAATAAACTTTAATAAAGTCTTTGAGAAGTTTCGGACTTTTGAGTCATCTGTGTGGTAGACTGCATCTATAATATATTTCATTATTTTCTTCAAACAACTGGACCCGCCGCAGCGATGCCGCAACGCGTCAGAAGTGCACGAGACAAAGAGGTGGACGCATCACACACACGCACACACACACACACACACACACACACACACACACACACACACACACACACACACACACACACACACACACACACCAAGCAGGGTGAATCACGCTGAGTGAGCACACTGGAAACTCGTTCACAATGCGAGTGGATGCACACACATGAAGCTTACAGATACAGTCCAGCGACATGCGTGGATCTCTCTCTCTCTCTCTCTCTCTCTCTCTCCATAGTGTTGACTAGAGCATGAGCACTTAACAGTCGTCATTGGCAGTCAAACGGCTCCACAGCCATTTTAGATGCTATGATTGCTATCCAACCGGCTTCCTCCCAGTCTTTCTTTTGTTTGTCCAATCTTCGTGTGATCACCTTCCTTTGCCAATCACCCCCGTTCCTTTCGTTGACCTTATCCCTTCAACAGCGTGCTCCTTTCCTCGTTTACTTCTCTCTCGCTTCTGCGCCCCGATCCCCCTCTTCAACCGCGCTCCCTCCCTCGATGCCCTTTGTCCTCGTCCTGCACTCCGTTTCCCCCCTTCCACCTCTTTGTCCTTCTCCTCCCCCGGATTCCCATCTCTCTCTAACCATGCTCAAGTGTCCCGCCCTTCTCCCTCCCCTTGATGACGGTCACCCTCCACCTGCACTCTAAGGAGCCCAGTCCCCTGCTTCTACCTCTTTGTCTTTCTCCACTTTTCCTTTCAAAACAGGGGGACGATGACGAGTGAGGCAGGAAGACAATGAAGAGGCAGAGAGGAGGAATCGAGGTCCAGGGGGGGGGGACGGGGGATGAGGGGGGACAGTACCCATCATGCGAGGAGGCAGAAGGGAGGAAGATGGTGGCAAGGGAGGAGCACTATCAGGATAGAGAGAGACAAGGACCGGGGGGGAGGAGAAGGGGGGACCATCGTGCAAGAGGAGGAGGCTAACGATCGAGGGCCGATTATTTGGTTGATTGATCAAGGCATTCTCTCTATTTGCAGCGGGGGACACGACACATCACGCGAGAAGGGGGAAGAGGAGTGGATCACGTGCAAGGCACATAGCGATTGATTGATTGATTGATTGGGTGCGCAGTTCTCACCTTCATCAGCCATCTTTACCCGATCGTCCAAGATTCTGGCTGCCGCCAGAAGGACGCGAGAAGAAAGAAGGATTGAGCGCTCGATGAGCAGGCAGAGGTCAGCACAGACACACATGGGCACCGCCCATTTCCACAAAGTGATGGGGAGAGAGAGAGAGAGAGAGAGAGAGAGAGAGAGAGAGAGAGAGAGAGAGAGAGAGAGAGAGAGAGAGAGAGAGAGAGAGAG